CTCTCCCATCCCACTAGCGTCTGCATTTCAAAACTGCAATGAATGGTTTTATCTCTTATTTCATCACAATTACAAACAGAACTGCTGATTTGAAAAGATGAATGTTCCACAGATTAATTCTCTCTATATGTTATGTTCAGAAAAGTTGATGCATCTGGGAAGAGCTGCGTGTAGCTAACATCCTCCAGACATCGGTTTACTATGTAAGCAGCAGAACTGGACTACAGGTTTCACTTTCAGTATCGAAGCATATGGCAACTGAAGTGGGCTGCTATAGCTGCTAGGAAAAACCCACAGTTCAATTTGAGGTTTCCTCAGGAAAAAAAATGAGCTTCTGGGGTTGGGTTGTCTGTCAAATGTTGACTGTTGCTGTTTGATGAGCCACACTTGACAAGCAAGTACAAGCAGGGATAGATCCTACATCAAGTTAATGGATCAAAAGACCCCATGGTTTGGGAAAGGCAGAATGTTAAATTTGTAACTCAGACTCCCAGGAAAAGTTTTCATGTATATTCGGACATTTAAAAAGATTGGAGGGGAACCATATTAAACCACTAGCTATATTAATAGATTATTTGCTCTACTATTCATTAATAACTTTTAATTTAGTTTTATTTTTACAGTGAGGTTAATGATACTCCAAAAGGACACGGAACACATGTTTGCTGGGGTTCCCTGAGTATTTTGATTAAAAAAATCATATAATCCTATAAAAGTAATCTTTGCAAATAAACCCAGGATCTAGACACTGACTTCTCTCTCTTTCATCAGCATTATGAATACACAGTTATTCATAAAAATTTATCAGCATATTTTGCTGCAACTGCGGAGGAAAGCAACCAGGAACCAGCACAGACTGTCACAGCTGATTACTAATTACATAGCTAATTACTATTACATCCCATAGCTAATTACTAGAAGTAATTAATAAACACAAATACAAAACACTTCCTAGAAAGCCATTCAAATTCAGAGGATTTTGAAAATCTTTCTTACAATTTGTTATGCATGAACAGTAGTTCTGACATTCATAGTCATAACAACATAGCTGCAGCAAATTTCTACACACAAGACAGAGTATACAAATCTTCTTTCACAGGGGAAAAAAACCCACCAAATCAAAACACAGGCCCTACAGCCAGTCAACTGAAAGACTAAAGATCATTGGGAGTTTCCAAGTCTGTTAGCCTGATGGAAATGAGGTTGCTGTAGCTCCTCATTTTTAATCCATGATTCAGAAGCAGTAATGAGGCCGAGCGTGTGTTCTGAAGAGGTACATGCATGCATGCAATGCATACGCACAGTGGGTGACACATGGATAGAAACATTCAGTACTCAAACACATATGGCACTAACAGTCTCATCCTCCTCTGGCTGATCAGGATGAGGGACTGTTTATAGCTGGACATTACGCACATACTCAACATGCTATATTCCTCCTGTAATTTCTATTGGACACTCGGTCTATCCAGAAGCTGTCACTTGGATCCCAGTCTTCACGCTTGCTGGCACCTGGACATACAAATCCAGCACCTGCATTTCCCCTCCAGCTGCAGGTACAGACTCCCTTTTAACTCTGGACACACTCACACATCCCTTTTCATCCCAGACCACTATGGATCCCCCAGTAATGGGTCTTACACACTAAGCATATCCAGTAACAGGTTCTGGAGCCTCGGGACCCCTAGTGCCCAATGATATCTCACGTATACATTATGAGCACCCCAGTAGTTGGCTCCCTGGTCTCCCCTTGCCTCATACACAGAGACACACATATGCAAAGAGGCCTCTCAGTCAACCCACGGACCATACAGTCACCCCAGACTGGTCTGGACCTCTTAGCCCCTCTGATTGCTGAATTCTGAGCTGACTGGTCTCTCCGGTATCTGGCCCAGACTTTTGGCCACCTGGATACCTGGCAGCCAAGCCACTCATCCAACTCAGTGGCTACACCAGCCTGAGACTCAGTCGTGATCCCACACTGACATAAGCACCCAGGCACTATGCACACACTCTGTGCTCTCCAGTTTGCTGGCACCACAGACACACAGGCCTTTCCAGCCCATGGTCATCCATCTCCAATTGCTGGCACCTAAACTTCCACGCACACATGCATACAGATAGAGCCTCTTCACTAAAGAAATAGTTAGAAATGGACCATAATAAGATACGACAGATGGTGCTGATCAAGCAGAGAGCATGATTAGGTAACAGTGCTAAGTAAGAGCCTGTTTACACACCATGGGCACCATTTATCCCCTTATCCCTCTATTATCCCCTGCTTTTCACTCCATAATCCATCTCAAACCCTCCCTTTCCTGTTTAGAGGTCTTTCCTCTAAACATCCAAGTATAAGTCTAGCACAATACCATAGGGCTCTTCCCTGCATCCTATAATGTATCCCATACCGCTGTAGGCAGTAGCTCCCTCAGCCTGAAGGGTGATCAGGCAGTATCTTCTGTGGACTCCTCATGATAGGTTTCAGTCTTGGCCCATGAGGTTGAAGCTCTCCTGGGACAGCCCCTGGAGGAGCCCAGGCTTGAGTCTCTAATTACAGCAGGGGGGTTACTCTCCCCCAGTACACTTCTGTTCTCCTTTGGGTGTGGAAAAGAGTTTGTAATTTGGTGCTGGCCCACTCTTGTATTTCCGGTTTATGAGTTCTAAAATCCTATTTAAACTATTCTAAACTAAGCTCCTAAAACTCTGTAACTTTAAAGTCTTCAGATAATAAATTGTTTAAAACTAAGTTTAGACAGCACTAAGCCAGAAGCAGAAGACTTCTTAAAACGAGTATTCACACTGAGCTATGAACACCTTGATGTCTGCATCTGATAGCTCCAAGAAACTTTACCTATAGCCATAAAAGATTCTTATGCTCCAGAACATTACATTCAGTCATGAATGTCAGGTCCTTTAGCTTCCTCTTTTCCCTTGTTCTGTCCCTCCTTTCTTGTACAGGAAGCTTGTGCATGTCAGTGTAAATTCAGATAACTTGCAGATAAAATATAATTAAGATGGAATTGAACAATTGAAGCCTTAGGAAAAATAGGTCACAGAAATGCTTGCAAATTCAGAAGAGCGATGTTTTCAGAAAATGAGTCTCAAATCCCAGAAATTCAAAGTGAAATTTTATAGTGAAACACTCTATTCTTCAAGACTTTCCCATCATTTCCAATAGTCTACTTCCTCCCATTATATCATGACAAATTAAATTAACTGCTCTTCTGCAATTATGAAAGGACAAGTTATCAAATCAAAAAGCTTTTCCTATTTTTTTTCACTGTTTCACTGTCTACTTACCTCCTAAGGTATTTATTCTTTTGTAATTTTAATAGACTAACATATCAGAATAATTTTAATTTTCTACAGACATACTAAAAACAGTTTACGTTCATAAAGTGTTATTAAATCCCTGTCAAAGCCTAAGGCTTGGGAAGTGAAAATACACTCCCATCTTCTTCTTAACAACATAAACACAGTTATAACACAACTCTTTTCTTCCATGTTACAGACCTGATACTGAGAACATACACTACGATTCTTCATTGACTGAAGAGCAGTTCCAGACTACAAGTTCCGCGCCATTTTAAAAATTAAAAATATAGACCATTGCCTCAGAGTGCCAAAACAGAAGTAGAAATGTAGACCAGGGTTGCAATTCTAAGTAAAAAAGGGCAGAGAGAGCTTGGGCACAGTATCACTGATTTTCCATATGTCTTAGTTGTTAATATGCACCTGGGTGGTTTTAGCCTATTCCAGCTATGCCAGACTGTACTCACATATGGCTGGGTAAGGTGTGTGCCAGCAGTTGTTACCATAACAAAGTATGTATGAACAGGCCTGCATCTGGATTGCCTCCCAGCACCTTACACAGTCCTCCAACATGATCCTATCACTCTTTACACAATCAGGCCTTTCTAACATGAGCTCACAAACTTACAGAAGAATACAGGTTGTGAGACACCTCTGGGGTCACCTCCTGCTCAAAGCAGGCCTAACCTCAAAGCTAGCTGAGACAGCACAGATACACTTCTCTTATAATGAAGCAAGCATATACCTCCAAGTTCCACAGAGCGTAAGGTATGCAGCAACGACACTTAAATGTAGAAACATTACAATGGAAACTATTTACACTATACTTACTTCACTTCAGCACATTTAAAAAAACATTATTCTTCCCTAAAGTTAATTGTAGGGATCACTATCTTTTATTCTTTCCCCTCACTATTAAAGCTTTGATATAGATAGGCAAAACCAGTTACAAAATTCAGATGATTAAAGTACTTTCTTAAATCATCTTTCCTCATTATTAAGTATATAAATATGTACTAAAAATATAACTTCATATTAATACTTAAGATAATGCTCTTCGGAAAATCCAAAGCTAGTAACAACCCCCATCCCCAAAAGAGATTTCTTCTTTCTTTAAAGAAACCTATTTGGGTTAATTACCCATAACTTACATGTTGTGGAAAAAGGAAAGGGTGATGCATAGCGTTTAAGCATAAAATTTTCAGCTCATTTTACTTCTTGAATCTTAGAACAAATTTTCAGTGAAATGGAAATTCTGCTGTTTTACAAATACACAAATTGTATTAATTTATTATGGTACATGTATTGAAGAACACATTCAATAACCCACCCAAACCTACCCTTCAGGCAAAACAAAGCATTTAAAACCATTATGTATTAGGCACATTTGAGTCACTTCCTCTAGAGAGGCTTATAAAGACGGAAAAATGCTACTCCAGTTTGGCTGAATGGCTTGCATCATGGCACAATTCAAAACTAATTCTGTACAGAGTAGGCTCATTTTAGCCTTCAGAAAAACACAGCAACTCCTAAATTTCATAGTGCTAAACCAAGTAGAGTATATTAGGGGTTAAAAAAAAATCACCAAAAAACCACATTCACGTGCATTTTGTACATTGGATTTCATCTAAAAGAGTTAACTGCAACATATTAGTGAAATCACACTGACAGAAATACAAAATACCCACCTGTTTTAGGGTCAACAGAAAAGTATGGCTGTCCCTGAAGAATACTGTACACTACTCTGGCACTGTTTCCATATGTAGGGTCATCTGCATCTGTGGCTGTCACCTGTAGAACAGATGTACCTGTATGTACAACAAATAAAAATTGATAATAAACATAATTTTCTGAAAAATATAAATATTTTAAGATGTAATTTTCAAACTTTTACAGTCCTCAGATTTTACAATTAGAGAGGTTAATAACATTTTCTCTATATGTCTTCATCCTATCATATTTTTAAGGAAAACTATTTATACTAATTTGAAAAAAAACCCAACTTTTTATGTGTATATATATGTATATGTAACTTAATTACATATATACAACCATAAAACAGTAACCACATAGCATGCATACATATGCATGTTCACACACATAGATTCAAAACTTGGATATTGCTTAGATTTCCAAACAACTCATATTTATGGACTTCAGGATCTTTATCCACAATAAAAATTAATCTTGAAGTACGTATTTAAAATATTTTACATAAATGTTCCCAAATCAATAAAAGATAGTAAGGGAAATCAAAAAGTATAGCTATTGAAAGACATCAAAGATTTGAAAATGGAATAACTACCAGAACCTTGTTGGAATTCAAATGATGGTTCCAAAGTAGAAAGTTAAGAGTTCAAAAGACAGGTATTTGTATTCTGTTATTATGTACCATTAGAAACATAAAATCACAGTTTCTAGCATGTCACTAAGTAGGATAACTTATGAATAACATTTTTGTAGGAAATAAAATGCAGAAGTCCTGCACAGAGACAAGTGATTTTGTATTTTTTGGTTTTTATATTTTTTCAAGACATTTAATGATGCATCTTTTTTGCTATCACTGCCCAGCACTTCACATAAGAAATCATTAAATGAAAGACTGCAAGTTAATAAAGGTTCAGTCTTCATCCCGCTTGTTTATCCTTCTACAGACAGTGCTTTCTACGGACTCTCTTGGCCCAGTACTAAAATACTAAAAAAAACAAAAACAAAACAGGCTACTCTCATGTAATTCTGCATTTGAAAGTGGCTTCTCAGTTAAATTAACCACTGAGGCATCACCTTCACTCTGGGGTGTTCAATTTCACATGTTATTTGTAAGAAGTATGCTTTTGAATTGACTCTCTTGGTAAGACCTACTTGTCATACTTTGATTTGCCTCATGGAACAGTTTCAGAGCATGCTAACTAGATTCCTTTGGATGAAACTAAACCAAAAGATCTGCTCTGGCAGCACATGTGATTTATTCTCACTGCTAATGGGCATTTAGTCACAGAGACCAGACAAGAGCTAGTCTGAAATAAGATTTCCCCAAAACATATGGTGTGGACATCAGATCCTCAGTTCCAAACGTTTAATTTCATAGATTGGTTTCCACTGCACAGAATTGCTTGGTACTGTGCACACTCTCAGTATACACTGGGAATACAAGTATCTAAAATCAGAGTCTGACTTCAAGTACAGCAAAGAAAGCATGCAAATCTTCACAGATTTGGATTTATCACTGTTTAAGAAACTATTTGTTAATAATGATATTAACTTGGAAACAAAAAGTTGCTTTTTGTATCTCTACTAGAGATTTGGTAAATGGTACAGCAAATGTGTCTGCATACTTAAACGTAGTGTCTTCTGGTCTCTGAATAGCCCAAACACATACAGTCTTATAGATAAATGTATTCACAATGTACATACAAGGAAACCTTGCTGAATTTGAAGTGGAATATTGTAATAAAACCAAGCTGGAGCTAGTAATCTGCTCATAGTTATTCAGGAGTTAATGGTAAACCTGACTAAATTACAGTATTTCGGTTTATGTGGCAAGGGAAACAAATATGAATTGAAGTTAGTGTAATTTTCTTAAAATGTTCTAGGAATCTATTCAGTCATATTTATTTGCTATTTAAACTTAGAATAACAGTTCCTGTAAACGACATCAAGTCACTTCAAGGAACAGAAAACGTATTTTTTCCCATATTCTATAGCTTATCTTAATATTGTAATGATATGTTTCTGTAGCCAAGTATGGCAGTAATTTCTAACTTGAGGTGAAAAAGCTGTGACCCTTCTGTCTTCCAGTTATAAGCTTGCTGTATTCAAGGATAAAGGCTTGTCCACAATAATTATTCATGGCTTCATTATTTAATGTTGGAATTTGTGGTATCATTAAAGATAAATAGTTTACTGGTTTTTTTTTTAATTGCATACAACAAAAATATGCCCATCCAATAGTCAGTCAGTCAGTCACCTACCATGGTTTGCTACACAGAGTGCTGGGCAACTTCTGTACCTTTGAGTTTGCATTTGCACTTTTTCCAGTTCTAGACAATCAAGGTAGGTTTGTGAATGGCTGAACAGATTTTGGCTATTTCAAAAGAAGAAAATACCAGAAATACTGATATTTCATGGTTCTCTCATTCTCCTCTCTCCTCTCTCCTCTCAAAAGGTAGGGGATAGAATCTGTGTGCTCACTGATGTGGGACAAAGAAAGAGGTCTACTGAAAGGCAGTATCTCACATAAGCAACTGACAGGTCATTTCAGCATGAATGGAATGCTATTATGCCTTAAAATCTGCCAGGGTGATTTTCAAGCACAACTGTACCTCTCTCCTAAGAAACACCTGATAATAGTAATTTGGTATTGCACAGTGGCAAAGTGTTCTCTTTCTGTCTAAAAACCCACTTAGAACTACAAGCTTTAACTCAACCCCCCACCCCACCTCTCAAACCCTCATTTAGTGCAATGTAGCTCATCGGATGCTTAACTTTTTCACTGTAGTACAAAGCATGCTCAGCATTTTACAAGATGTATCCATACTGGCTTTTCACCTAACTCTTGCATGATTTACTGAGCACAGAGGAAAGGCAGCTTGTAAAAGTTGCGGGTTAGAATGCCTTGTGAGAAAAGGTAAAGAAAGTACCTTTACCTTCCAACTACTCCTTTCAAAGTTAGCATCATTTAGCTCATCAACATGACAGACAAATCATGATTCCAAATATATTTGTACTATTCAGATGCAGAATGAGTTCTTGCTGTTGAGATGTGTAAAGGATTCAGATAGAAAACTATACAGTATAGCTGCCTTGCTATTTTTAATGTTAACAATTCTGAGGAAAATAATCTAACACAAAAAATAGGGATCTAATTTCCCCAGACACCTCAGAACAGATATGAATGTCAAACCCAGAGGCGTACCTTCCATACTTTCTTCACTAACCTACTGTGAAAGTGCCTGTAAAGAAAACCTCCAAATTTTGCTATGAAAGCATTTTGACACCCCACTTAGGTAATAAAAAGATTTTTTCCCCAAAGTAGAGGCTTTGCTCGTTTAGAGTACAACCACCATTCCACATGATTTCCTGCTACAGTTTAGAGATTCCATATTGGGAATTCTGTTTTCTTAGCTAATGCTCTATACAGAACTGTAAAATAAGTTTGTGTGCTCTGAACACCACTCTTTAAGCTTTCTCTTTTTTCTGTTATCAAAAATAAGGAACATTCATTTGGGAAACCAAACTGTAGTTTTATTTAAAAATCTCTTCTTTTGGGCTTTCGTGTTTTGTTTTGTTGTTTTTTTTTTTTAATATGTTCACAATAAAAATTTTGTAAAATTATGTATCATATAAAAGCTGAAGGGAAATACTTCAATCTGTCTCTCTGAAGACAAATTTTTGATGTATAATGAAGCAGTTCAATAAAGCATGTCTGCTGAGAATGTACATCTCTATGCATGACTTTCCATAGTTTGCTGAACTATTAAGAGAACATGTTTTAGTTTAATTCTACATTAGAAAATAGTGTCTTCACCACGAAATCAACATAAGTTAATGACTATATCATTGATGCAAGTCCTCACTGTAGAAAATCACAATATTTTTGCCTGATATCTTTATTATAAGATAAAAATCAAACAATACAGGAAGATAAAGAGACACTTCTCATGCAAATTGTATTGATGAACACCATGAATATTGCCTTCCAGATTATCTGAAATTTTTACTACCTCACATTATAATACCCTGGAAAGAAGTTCAGGAAAGTCCAGTGTGTCTATTAATTTGTTAAGGAGAATTTATTTGGAATACACTTCTTATTCATGACTACATAGAACACTAGAAAATGTAATATGCAGTGTTTCACTCATTTTGAAGATATCTGAATGGAAGGCTTTTGCTGTTTGGAGGTGGGTGGGGAGCTTTTCTTTCCCTTTACGTTTAGATAGAATCACAGAATGGTTTGGGTTGGAAAGGATGTTAAGATCATCTAGTTCCAACCCCCCACTAGACGAGTAATGATAATGATGACTCTCATAAAACAGAGCATAGTTCTCAATGAAACTGAGCTTTTTACACTGCAGAAGAAATAATTTCAGATATAAAACTTGGATCTCAAGATCCAACTTTAAGGAGAAGTGTTCAACGAAGGCAAGAAATAGGTGTTTTCTTTCAGTTCTTCCAGCATAGTACATAAAGCATAAATAATATGTTCACTTTATGCCACAGGAAACATTGCAATCAAATATTTGGCAAATAATTTAACAAAACTTACCTGTACTTTCTTGTTAGTTACCTAAAAGACCAAAAGCCATAAACATGCTACAGCTTTCACAAATAGATCAAGGGTCAACTTGTGGCAAAAATATCAGCTAACTGCTTGAGGAGACAGATAGGAATCTGCTGCTGAAATTAACGGCATAACAGAGATGAAAAATACCACCAGCTACTCAGCGTGAGGGCTGTTACAGAGAGACAGTAGCACTGAAAGTTTGTTAAATGACCATGAAATGAAGTGGAAGATATTTTTAAAGTAGTGAATCATCCTTAGGAATTCATACAATAACAACAAGGATTTTAGTGACATATAGACCACAGCTAAATATCAAAAAATGTGTTTATTACAGGACTAATAAGACTGGCATAGGGATGTCCATTATTTGACAGAAAATGGATCCTGTGGAAGCAATAATAGAATTAGTCTTCCTGAGACTACAGATGATAAAATGCTTTCAGAATGCAATGAACAAACAAATCAATAAAAGAAAAAGAAAATAATGATCATAAATTTGCAAGGAAAATATGCTGTATGCCTACAGCAGATTGCCTGTATGGCCGGATATGAAAATTCAATTATATTCGAACAACACAAAAGTGTTGTTGATATCAATGTAGATATTTTAATGATTTACCTCAGGTACAACCAATAAAGTATTTAATTTATAAAATACATGCATTAATGATACATTCTGAGTTACCAGCTGGGCTTATACCACAGCACACTAAAACTTCTTTGGCTTACTATAATCCACTCTGTTTTATAACCCAAAATGCCATCCCAGACTACTCAAATTGTTCTTTAGAAAACAGTAACATTTATAATGTAGCTGAACAGCAAATACCAAGATTCAGACTACTACAGAATTATGACTAACATTTATGTAAGAATACTACATTTTGAGGGATGAAAAAAAAGGGGAACTTTGAGTGAACAAATGAAAAATAACTATATTGGGTGCTTTTGACTTTGAGGATAACATTGATTTCCTTTCCACTGTCTTTCCTCCTATGAAGAAAATAAAAGGCTTCCACAGGGGAAGGAAATAATCAATTAATTAAAATGTTCCATTAAAGACAAAGGAAACTAAAGAAAGAGGAAGACAGAGTTATGCATTTTTGAAGACAGTTGATAAAGGATATGAATTTAACAGCAAGAGTCTGTGGTATAACGAGAGACAACTGAGATGAGAGCTTAGATGATACTGAAATGAGCTCTGAGAGTAAAGCTTTGTGCCACAGTGAATTATCAAAGACAAGTGAAGAGGTTTCATACAGGCCCACAATACTCTTAGTGGTAATAACCTCACTGTAGTGCTTCCCACAAAGGTGTTATGACATTACTCACAGAAATACCGCTCTAATGCACATCCATAAGCTTCTCTTGGGAATGATATTTGCAATAGCATGCTTAGATGGTTAAAGCAGGCAATTGCACATTAGAAACACATCCTGTTATATGCACTAGCATCACTCTGTAGAAGGTATAGACCCACATGTTTATAGCTTGAAGTAAAAGATGGTATCTGAAGGGCGCCTACAAGGATGCTGGGGAGGGACTCTTCGTTAGGGACTCTAGTGGTAGGACAAGGGGTAATGGGTTCAAACTTAAACAGGGGAACTTTAGATTAGATATAAGGAAGAAGTTCTTTACAGTGAGGGTGGTGAGGCACTGCAATAGGTTGCCCAAGGAAGTTGTGAATGCTCTAACCCTGGCAGTGTTCAAGGCCAGGTTGGACAGAGCCTTGGGCGACATAGTTTAGTGTGTGGTGTCCCTGCTCATGGCAGGGGGGTTGGAACTAGATGATCTTAAGGTCCTTTCCAACCCTAACTATTCTATGATTCTATGATTCTATGACCAAGGAAGTCAGTATTTGAGTGCAAGAGATTTAAGAGAACAATGAACAGCTTGCAAATTATTTTAAGGAATGAAAATATCTTTGATTGATAACCTTAAAATCTTTATTAGCTAGATACTGACCAAGCAAGAATGGCTAATACAGATTGTTTTTCTGGTAGAGACCCAAGAGGCTATTAGAAATAATAATGGTAAATCATTATAGTAAGAGCGTATTAAAGGCCAGGTTGGATTGAGTCTGGGGTGACATCGTTTAGTGAGAGGTGTCCCTGCCCATGGCAGGGAGGTTGGAACTAGATGATCTTAAGGTCCTTTCCAATCCTAACTATTCTATGAAAAGGTGGAATGAGGGGGAAATAGAAATTACAGACAAAGATAAAGTAGCAGTTAAGAGAGAAATAACAGACTGTGGGAAGAAGGAAATTCATAAAAGGGAAGTTAAGCGGTAAATGGGAACAATGACCTATGAAAGAAGAAGAAAGAATGAAATAGGAGGAGACCAAAGAAAGATGTTTCTCCCTTCATGCATTCTTACTGTGAGAGGGATCACAGTAAAAAAGGCTTAGAGTGCTCCACAGCTGAGAAGAGATGTCTGAAGTAGCACACTGTGGGATGAATCAGAAGAGCAGAAAAGACTGGAAAAGGAGAAAAACAGTACAAGTACCTACAAAGAACAAAGCAGAACAAGAAATTATGATGCAGACAGGTAGATTATTTTTCAGAACATAATGTATGGAGGACATTTTGAGCAGAAAATCAAGGAAGTACTCCTATGTGTCAGTGGAGTGGCAGTGACAGAAAGAATGAAGAAGCACTCATTAAGTCAGGGGAAAAGAAAGAGAATGGGGGAAACTTCTTACCCTTTTAAAATATTTGGTAAGCTGCAAAGTCAATTTAAAACAATTTGATTTTGTATGGTAGATAGGAAAGCATACTTATTCTCTACTTTATACAAGATTAACTCTACTTATGTCAGTGAAGAAGCCACTGGTGTAAAAATCAGTCTCTGCTTCCAAACTGTCAGAGCTCTAAACTCCATGATTCAGGATTAAAACTTCATACATTCAGTATTTCCAGGACTGCTATGATTACTACCTGCTCACAAATATTTCATATACCACACTTCATTTGTACCTGAAAACAAAGAATTGTACAGATGTTTGGAATGCACTATTTTCACTATACACATCTGTAATAGAAGCTGTGGTTTTGGCACCTCAAATAATAAGAATACATCTGAACTATATTTCTAACAGGGAAAACCAAATATCAGTACTTTTCTGAATTTCAGCTTGCTTTATAAGAAACTTAATCAAGATAAATAAACATATGACACCATGGGCTAAGGTAGTCTAGAAAATTAGTTTCTTTGTATTTGTTTAATTCTGTGAATTGCACAGACTACTCATACAGACATAAGACAATGCCATAGTGTAGTTGAATGAGGAATATGTGAATACATCTTGTTTCTAGAGTGCAAAGTACAATTTGCCCAGGAGTGTATGTTAAAGCAGATTAAGAGTGACTCTCTACAGTCAACAAGCGTGTGCATCCTGTTTTCTTAATATGAATGTCCCAAGTAACATACAAAGTTGCATTTGATGGCTTCCTATAATCTCAACTGTAATATGTTTTACATACAATCAATGATACAATAACCGTGTGATAATTTTGTCAAACAGTATGTGGCATTTTAACTTGTTAAAAGATTGCTGAATGTAACAATTCATTTTCCTTACCCATTTCAGACATCTCTGGCACAGTAACAATGTATGGTCCATCTGTAAATTTTGGTGCATTGTCGTTGATATCCTGCACTTTGATAATAAATTCAGATTCAGGCTCGAGTGGCTTGTTTGTCCGTCTATCAATAGCTTGGGCATGAAGCACATAGTGTGTCTTCTGCTCTCGATCTAGGCTTTTGGTTGAATGGATGTCTCCAGTCGTGTCATCAATAATAAAGATAGTCCCTGCCCCTTCTCCAGTAAGAATGTATTTGACTGATCCATCACCTTTGTCGGAATTGGAGTGCAGCTGTAGAATATAAACACATAAAATCATATAAAATGACCTAATAAACTTCCTAAAAGGTTATTGCACATAAGATCTAAACAATATAATATTTCTGTTAGCACCATTCTACTTAGTTTTTAATGTTCCCATCTCCTGTCGTAACTCCTTATGTGGCATTACTGTCAAGTCAATCATTTTGTTCAGGATTATAATCACCCAGCATAGTTCACTTTTTAAGATGGGATTTTTTTGGTTCTATGTCCATTCTAGAAACCTTCCCTAAGTCAAGAATATTCTAGTAACTGGGGTGGGGTTTATTTCATTATGGTTTGGTTTTAGTTTTCTAGCAGTTACCATACAGCATTCATTGCTAGAAACCTTAAGCACCAAGCCTGAAGCTGTCACACTGAGGAATGCCTGCCTCGATGACGTAGTTCAGTCCCACCACCTATGCATTTTCCGAGCCCACAAGGATAGCATAGTTTATTACAAAAGGAAACCGTGTAGTGTGGCAGTGACAGGTGTATGTCCAGGATTACCCTATCCCACAACAAAATATATCCATTTTCTCTCAGTTTTGCTTGTTTAGTTCTAATTAGAAACTCACCTAATTTGCTTGTATTTAAATTATTTCTAATGAAGCAATGAACTTTGATACTTCCAGCATTTTCATTGCTCCTAACACACACTGTGCTATAAAATATACATTAAATATATTACCCCTCCTTCAGGAGAATAAAGCTTGCATTTACTGGCGGGAGAGAGGAAAGGAAAAGTTACAAAGTACCCTGGTGTACTAAGAGATAACATGAAACAGGTACCCACGTTAAGCCTCAGTGCTTTTAACTTGACTTTAAAGAATTACCTGTTCAGACTAAAAATCAACATGTGTTCTCTGAGAAATAGGGGTGATTTTTGATAGATTGAGAAGCTTTGTATTTTTTCTTTTTTCTTTAGAACAACTTTGAGAACAGAATGTATTTATTGAGGTGCACAATGAGAACAAAGTGATAATGCAGAAATGAACAGCCTCAGGTATTGTGCAGTTATATTGTGATGTTAAATCAGAAGGGAAACTTCCTAATTTTAAGAACTTATTTCTATTCTTATCTCACTGCTCTGACTATCTTTCAATATCTGCAGCATGGCATTACTAAGTTTCAGTTTCCAGACTCCTTTCCATTCTCAGTCCAGAAACCATCTAAGGTTGGATAGAGAAAATAGACTTTTGGGGGTAGAAATCATCTTTTTTCTAACTTAAATCATACAGAGATGCTGATAGTTTCTCACTCTCTGTTTTGTTTTGTTTTGTTTTTTTCTCCAGGTCTTTGTCTTGCCTTTAAAATTATCTAGTTTGCTATTTGTAAAAAAAGCAAGCATATGGGGATTGGTAACATTTTTTAATCTTGTATACAAAATCTGTGAAATTACAGTGTTGCACATTATTTATATCTTGTCCTGTATGGGGGTGGGATGGGGGGGTGGTGGTGTATGTAGTCTAATAAAATTAAGATTGTCAGCTCATGTAAACTTCAGCGTATCTTCAGTCAATGCACCATGCAATTATTTAAGCCACAGAAAGATCTGACTAGATAACTAAACCAAAGCTGGGTCACCACTGTGGACCCATTTTTTTTTATTTTGAAAATGGAAGAGAGAAAGAGGCAGAGAAAGAGTCGCTTTGCTTTTATAGGACAGCAGAACAGTATTAAACCTTTCCGTTAAAGAAGAGATGGGCAAAATTCTGGTTACATCTCTTATCCTCAGAATAATGCTGTATTCTGTTAAGAAAGGAATAAGTCACTCAACGTAAAATGCCAGAGATCCAAACTGACTATAAAGTCAAAATGTTACTGGAAGTTATTTATTCCTAAAAACAAGAATAGTAAGTACTCTGGTATTCCAATCTTGGTTTTCTGGAATTCCAATTTTTCAGAAACAACCAATCAGAATTGAGTATCTCTGGCTGCAGGTTCCTTTTTTGATAAAATTATTCCTAAGTGTTAGTGTTTGCAAATGTTAACATTTGTCTCTAATTTATGTGAAAAAAAAGTGCCAGCACCTCCCCACTCCAAAAAACAACAACAACAAAAAAAACCAAACCAAACCAAACCAAAAACCAAAACCAAAACCAAAAAAAAAAAAAAAAAAAAAAAACCAAAACAAAAAAAACCAAAAAACCAAACCCAAACAAGAAAGCCAGGAGAAAATTTATATGCCCAGGAAAATGACAAATTAGCTGCTGAGTTTCTGAGTTCTATAAGGAACTCAAGTTGAAATTACCCCAAACTGAAAAAGATCAGAAGAATCGCCATCATTGTCTCCTTTTAACTCTGCATGCATATATGTCAAAGCATATTCAGGTATTCTATACAAAGATCCCAGCAAAAACCACTGGAATTATGAAAAGTATGAACCAACTAAGAAATTGGTTACATAGGTAAGAAAGCAACAGAATAAGGAACTGCTATAGAATTTAAGAAGTAAGCTTTCTTCAAAAAATCCAAATATCAACACAGACATGGTGTTCCAGTACCATACTATAGAAGGGCATAGCCAGAAATTCACTGTGATAGTACAGATTAAAATATTAGATATTATTCATTGTGTAGAAACAATTATTTGTAAATGTAATCAGTGATGAAAATGCAGGTACATTTCGAGTCACAGGGCTTTTATATCTAACAAGTAACAGAAGTTAAGAAAAGAAAAGATTCTCAGCTGACTGCACGGCCAACCAGTGATTCCTGCTAAACACCCTGTTACCCAACAAACTTCAAATGAAAAATGCAGTCAGGAATTAGCATTAGAAATATCAATAAACCAAAAGCATACAGTTTTCAGCTCGGTCTTTTACACTGCAGATGTAAGGCAACAACTGAAAACAAGAGAAAGCTAAGAGAAGTTCCTGCTTCATTACTTCCTGATATCTTACACTGTTTGAAATATAACACTTTGATATACGCCTTTTAATTTCTACGCTGAATTTTAAATTCACACAAAAGGATTTTGCAGAGCATTTCTATTGCATAAAAAAGGGCCTTTCTTTTGTCAGCTGGTTTATATTTGAATTTTTCTGTGAAGCAAAGATTAAATAACTGTTTGTTTTCTTTAATACTTCCTCTTAGTGCAAATTGGCCCAAGTTTAAAAAAAAGAAATCAAGGCTTCTCTCAAAATACATGTTTACAATATGAGATGTGCTAAAGATAGCCCCTGGGAATCCCTGCTTAAGACAATGCCTACCAGACTAATGAGAGATTCATGTCCCTCAGCATGGCACACTTCTTTCTTTTCCCTGCGTACTATAAAATCATCTCCACAACAGGTGGTTTATTCCACAAAAGCATTTCTAACCAGAATAAATGGGATTCACTCTTACAAACACATGGTTTAGGAGACTGAAATTCTGCAGCTATGTCTATAATGATTTATAAAAGACAGCAAGGGAGCAAAATATAGCTGGCCAATAGTGAACTCTCTCTCCACTTGGGACTGCTGTAACTATTTCTCTTTCAGATTAATTTGACAGAGAGTGGGGAATGACACTAAGAAACATAAACTCAAGCCAACCCATGTTCTGTTCACGAGTTTAGACCTAACCTGTATGATCTGGGAAGCCATCTCAACCCAGATCCCTAGAAAGGGTGTGGACATTCCATTTCTCTCTGCCAACGACTACTGCAAGAACATGTATACACTAGAGGATGAGATACTCACATGATGCAGTAATATGAATAAATAGCTTTGATAAACACTAAGTGTGGTGTTATTTTTCCCCCTGCTGTGCAAGAGACATAAAGTTGGAACACTGCAAGCGCCTCTTAATTTAAAAAATACAAATGCATTGCAAACTGAAACATGATTACTCATAATGTTGAGATGAGTAACGAGCATTGAAAAGAAATACAAGGGAAATAAGAAACATTAGAACATAACTCTCTTGATTTCTCAATCAAGGTTTTAACTACGACTATGAAAACATAACTGAAATTGTTTTTCAGTAGGTCTTCGTTTCTACAGTAGTCCACTGCACCTGATGATTATAGATTGATTTGTGATATCAACTTTTTAACTGCTACTTAAAGAAGCTTTTTTTTCTCCTTAAATTGTTTCAACTTGCTTCCCTGAGCAATCTCACCTTAGACCCCAAACCATTTTAAAAATTACATTGCCTAGAGACTATAACCACTAGAGACTATACAGCTTGCACCCATCATTTGGCCTTCCCTACCAGCCAGGGCTCCCCAACCCCCCATGGCTCAGGACCTCACTGCAGCCCCACAGGGCCACCATCCCCAGGAAACTGCCCCACCCTGCTGCTCCCTGACAGCAACATCTCCAATCTCCCAACTTGCAGCCAGTGCAGGCTTCTGAATTCCTTGTGGAAGTGAAGTTTCTATCCTCTTTGATGGGCTGGCTTCTGAAAACATTACTTATAGCTGCTGATCTGGTTATGTTCCTAACAAGAACATATCCATTAATTATTCTGAAACTGTCCACAACCAGAAACCATCAGCAAGTATTTAATTTTCATATCCTGTTGGGCATCATTCCTGTCTTTATTTCTCTGATTTTTTAGGAAAAGAAGTTAAAAGAATAGATGAAGAGCATATCTAGAGTGTCACCTTTACCAACCCAGTGGGCTCCACTTCTTGACACATTCAGTAACAGGTTGGATTCAGGATGATTTGACAGTTTCTCAATCCTTAGCTAGTCTGTATCAGCAGTGTATGACTGATTTTGCAGAATATCGACCAAGGTGCCCTTTTTTGGCTAAGATTTAAACATTTTTCTTTCATCAGTCCATTTAAATGCTTTATCTTTCTTTTAGTATTCCTGCAGAAAGTGTAGAAGGGCTGTATTTTCCAAAGGCATGATCTGAACATTTCAGTTTCTTAGAAGAGTTTTCTTTACATTCTTATTATTAATTTTAATATTACGAGTCTTAAAATACTTATAATTTGATGCACCAGTATATTAACTGCTGTAAAATGAATGCACAGATTGTAGGCTTATTGCC